TAATAGGGATTAAAACCACAATTAAAAAGAAGAAAAATAACAAAAAACAAAACCTCTCAAGCAAGGAAACATGAAAAGAAGAGAAGGCTATAAATATAGATAAACAAAATTAAGTCATAAGGGAAGGAAAAGAAGAAAATAAGATCCAAATTCAGGAAACATGACTTGATTCAGTCTTTAGTTTTGTAAATAGAAACATAAGACCCTTTTTTCAAGGTCTTACTAGCTAGCTTGGTATAGCTCCAGACCAGAAATAACCATCTGGCCTGTGCGGCAGACTGCTTTTGGGCACTCATAAAAGTAGCCAGGAGATGTTGAACCAAAATTTAAGCCAACTTTGTACAACATGTATACAAAAATCTTAATAAAGGTGATCGGCAAGACTGCCTAAGTTATAAAAAAAAAAAAAAAAAAAAAAAAAAAAAAATTAAAATATATATTTAGTAAGATAATCTAATATATTTTTTAAAAATTAAATATCTTAGCAGATCTAACATTAAGAAAAGAGATGTAGTGCTTAGTGAAGTAGATAAGTTGTTATTCCTCCAAGTAGTAGGTTGTGAATTTAAAACCCACCAATAGTAAAATTTGGATAATCATCTATGTAATATATAGATGGTATTACAATAACAGCATTCTATTGATTAGTTAGAATAGAATACCTGTAACTATTTTCATATCAGCATAACTGGCAGGTCTGAGTGTTTGTGTAACTTGTTACACAGAGGAATACAAACCAGTACTGGATAGTGCAAATCTAAAATAAGTCCTTAGATTATGTAAATTCATAAAACTGGAAAGCCAGAGCTTATTTGAAAATTCTGAGCAGAGAGGTAATACAGATCTTCAACAGTACTACTGTAAAGGCTAGACCTAGGAAATGGATACCAATGTAAAGGAATTGGGCAGGCAAGAACTTTGGATAAGGGTATTATTAATCAGGCCATTGGATTTCAAACCAGAGAAAAAAGATATTAGGCTAGTCTCAATATACCAAAGACAGGTTATAATTTTTCTGAGTTATCTGGATTGGAAGTTTAAGTTTAAAGCAGAGATATACTAAAAGTACTAGGAATATGCTGTAAAGTCAGTACTAAGAACTGTGTGAACTTTATAAAAATAACTCTTATTAGTGTTCTAAAAATAAATAAATAGTTAACAATAGAAGATTTTCTGCATCTTACTAGCAGATGACATACTCTAAAATATGTAACAGTCTAGGAACAAGTACAAAAAAGGTAGATACCATACTGCTCAGACAGTATACTAATTAAATATATACAGAAGGTTAGTTGGGGTTACATAATGACAGAGCAGATAGTCAGAGAGTTTAAATAAATAATCTCCTAGTAGGTTATAAATATGGCATCTAGTGTAGAACCTTAGAGCAAACTACTTAAATAGACAACCAAAAGTTGTATATGTAACTAGTTGTACTTTCATCTCTATAAAAAATAATTGTAATAACTAACCTAATAAAAGTCAATAAAGTATCACCACAAAGTATAGCCTTTAACAAAAAAAAAAACATTAAGAAAAATATTAAATTATTATAATTAAATACTTAAACTTTAAATATTTTATAGAATAAAAGAATTGTAATTTTTTCAAATAAACCTATTTATAAACTAAATAAATAATTTGTTACAAAGATTTTTTTTTTTAATAGACAAATCTTTATTGTTTTGCACTAGATGCTTTAATTCAAAATTAGTTAAATCAAATGTATAAATCAGCTTTTATTAAAGTTTAATATACAAAATATTAATCAAAATAATTAAAAACAAAATAATAATTTAATACTAATTCTGTACTAAACTACAGGCTTATAGCTTTTGATATTATTAAAACTATTGATAGACCTATCGGCCTTGATTATAAATAACAATTCTTTTATACCTAACTAAATAAGCTTTTAATATTTCAACAATCATTTAACTAATTTTAATTAACAAATTTATATAATTCAAATAAAAAAAAATTTCATCGATTTTGGTCAGGAGTTGTCAATATATCTTCTCTCAAAGTTCAAAAATCCATAATTTTTATAAAGTATTAATATTAATTCCCTTAAAAATTTTGATAATTTGATTGGATTATGTATTAAATGTTTAATTCGGCCGACATTAAGATAACCTTGGCCCATGATCAACATAATTCGGCCTGAAATTATGGAACAATTTTTTATGCGGTTAAACTCTGGATTGGATAATCTTATGAGCAAAAATACCAAGACAACTTTTCAATAATACCTAACTTCGATAAACACATTTGACTTTTAATAGACTTTTGAGTTTCGATACACTTTTGGGTTTCGATACTACTTTCGAGCTTCGATACTACTTTTGAGTTTCGATACTACTTTCGAGTATCGATACCACTTTCGAGTTTCGATACCACTTTCGAGTTTCGATACAACTTTTGAGTTTCAATACCACTATCGAGTTTCGATATCGAAATTTCGATACTATGGGATTTATCGAAACAGTTTCGACACACCAAGATAGTTTCGAGAGGCATCATTAAGTCCAACTAACGGCCGTATATTTTGTCTTCAAGGCAAATTGCGTCAGTTTTGAGATCTTTTGGGATTCTTTTGCATAATAAACGTTAACACCTCTCTAAAGTTAATAACAATGTCTGCGTTGATTTTTTATTAGTGCAACGTTCAGTTCATAAAAAGTGTATAAATAAGTTACCCGAGTAATTGATTTACATCAGCCAATCAGACGAAATTCCTCCTACGAAGATTATGTACTCGGTTCGGATAAATTAGTGAAGCAACCAAAATTTAGAGTCGGAACAGGTCCGGCTAGGCCGGCACTAAGCAATAATACATGCTACAGCAAAATTATCATCTGGGCAGCTTTACTTAGTATGTGGGCTACCATTTCATGACCGAGGTAAGTTTTGAAAACTGTGATATTGCCAATTCATGTTTAAATCATTAAAATATTAACATAATTGATTTAGTAAGTGGTTTTTTTTCTTCGATCCTTTAAAGCGAAAAGCGATCGGCATAAAATTCAATAAACACACTATCCTAAAAATATATGTTGATTGCAGTAACCAAGTTTCCATTAACAATAAACGAAAAAAGAATGAAAATCGAAATAAAATTACAAAAACTAATCAAGTAAATGCAATCGAACCAGTAGATTTTATTTTTAATGCTCTTCTGGAAAATTATAACTCTGATTATTTATTTGAATCCAGGATGTAGCAACAAAAAATTATTAAAAAAAAAATAGTAACAAATGGCTCGATAGTATTAATAAAAACTTTGTGCCATTTCATAAATTAGAAGATTATAATCATTTTAAAAGGTAATGAAATATTCCAAATATTTAGAAAAACCGTAATCATAATACTTTCTAGCAATAATAAATATATTCCTTACTTATCGTTATTATTTTATTAGTCTAGATTTTTTTGTTTTGTATTCTTTTGTTAAGTTACATGAATTTTTAGTGCTCTATATATTTTATCAATTCCGGCCCTAAATTTTGGTTGCTCCACTCGGTTCGGTTGGATACCTAATAATCCAACTGAGTAAAAGTAGGATTTGAAGGAAAAACGTTGATCATCTTGGATATTAGTCCTTATCATTATATATGTACAATTTATTTTACATATTCTTTAATAATGGTCGAATCAAAAACTATAGATTCGATTTGTTCAAATCTCTCGTATTGGTCGGTGTCAATGTATCTCACGGAAGTATCATTATCACGGTCTGTGTCTATTGGACCATCGATTGGGTCTTAGTCATCTTCTAGAAACACAGATCCGATTTTGTTCAAATCTCTAAATTTACATCGAAGACGTTTGAATATTTGAAACATTTCTCATTTTCTTAACAAAAAAATAAAAAATAAAAAGATATAAGCACATCATACCGTCATCGTGTTTATGATTGGAACGTATCTGTGATATTGCCCTATAACCATGCGCACGGGTCTATACCAGCGAAAGACAGTCCCGATATCTCACTCAACCACCAACGTGACTTACACCCGCATGCTCACCAGGCAATGTTTAGAAAGTATAAAACTTTCTTGCTTATATTTGTTTAATGCTTCTTTTTTTGATGTCTGTTGATGGTAATTTTTCTTTAAGATGTTAAAAAAAAAATCTTAAAAAATGTAGATCTTACAAAAAAAAAAAAAAAAATTGTAGATCTTCCTTCTTTTCTATAGCGTTAGTATTACTTTTAAGTACCCACGCCAACAGGAGGAATCATCGATGTTACACAACTGATCCTTCACCTGGTGTGCGACATATAATTCATACACGTAATAAAATGAGTGCTGCCAAGGGAAAACCTGAATCCGGAAAGTACAGGTTATTAATGGCGCCACTCAAATGGCGTGGGATTATAATCGTAACATGTACTAGCGGAATGATCACCGGGTGGTGATTATTTGTGTAACATCGACGGTTCCTCCTGTTACCCACGCTTCCATAAAAATACAATTTATACTCGGCACTATATGAATTTTCAGGTGATTTTATTATGAAAAATTTTATTATACGTATTAAACTATATGTATTTAAACTCGGTACGTAACTGATTTGGATGGTTATGCTTGGTTTGTTCTATACGAAAACGTTGAGATGTGAATTACGGCATTGCACTCACACCTCTAAATCGGTCATATGAGTACGTAAACCATGAAATAAAGTTTCGTTATTCGTTAACTAATATTTGGTAAAAAAATATATATATGTGGACCATCAACCAATCAAATAGATTTTAATCATGCGACGCATTTATTTTAAAGGAAATAGCCAATCAGAGAGCGAAAAAAAGAAAAAAAACATATCAGGAATGAATTTTACAAATTTTTATTTCACACGAAATCGGATTTCCTTTTTTGGTTTGTATTACTCGTAAAAAATAAGTTAACGGTCCCTAACAAGGAAAACAGACATTCATTTTTTTGCAACGCCTGTAGATCCACAAAAAATCAATCAAAAAATTCCCTCATAACAGCTAACGTGACTTGCTCGAAACCCTAAAGATTTCATTACATCTGGTCTTTCGATCTAATTGGATAAAATCATGAGGAGGGAAAAATTTTTTGTGGAAGAGCTGCCAACTATGTTAGTTTCGCTAAAATGAAGCAAAAATACTCGAAAACGTTTAAATGTGAAAATTTACGTGTAGTAACAGTTTACTTTCACAGCCCAACATTCTAACCCTAAGTTCGCCGGGTTCGCATTAAGATTAAGGGAATATATTTTTTATTTGATCTACTAACTGACTTTTTGTTTACTTAGGAACTTTACACCCTACCGAGGTCATGAAAGATATGTCCCTTCTTTATTTTATTTTATATACCGGGTGTTTGATAAGTCCAAATTACTATACTATATATGATTAGTAATCGTTATATAATTAAAACCAATACTAGCAAAGATATAAAAAAGGTTCTGTTTAGATATATTTAATTTATTCATTAAGTAACTGGACAGTAACCTTTTTTACTATCTTCGATAATATTAAATTTCTATAATTATTTATTATACTGTATCTACGTAATACTGGTATAAGCGTTAAGTGGTATATCAGTGATCAAAAAAAGTCACTGTCCAGTTACTTTTCACCAACCCGGTATATATTTAATTTATTCATTTATTTTATTCATTTACTTTATCTATATTTAATTCATTCATTTATATATATTATTAATTTATTCATTTAATTTATTTTATATTTTCTTTTTAGGTTCACTCTTTGTAATAATTTTAAAACTCGTTACAATTCATTAATGTTAGGTTAGCGTTTAGAATGAAGTTAGAGATTAGACGGTTAGGTAGTAAAATCACTCAAGGAAAACTTTTTGTTAGAGCACTAAAGATGGTTTCTTATACCGATTCTTGAGAAATAAGCGATTTTGGACAAAACGAACGTTTGTTTTGAAAATTTCTGATTGTGTTACATTACACGTGATTCTTGAAATCCGATTTGTGATGATCAACATGATCCACGGGTAACTAATTCCGAAAGGACATTCTATTGGCAAAGGTTCAATATTATTTAACATTGTTATTTTCTTTATTATAATAAATATACAAACTGGGTAAAGCCATTTTGTATCTATATGCATAAAGTTAATAAAATATTTTAATTAAGTGCTTATTTGAAGTCTTAGTTGGGATTTGAACTGACCAAAAAGTTTTATTGCAAAATTTTGGTGTATATGTATATCTAACCTTATCAATCCTAATCCAATAGTAAAAAAATCTTGCAGCTGATTTCATAAATTCTGGGACAACTGATAAAAATTTGCTGAATGATTTACTGACCGGTCCGGTTAGTTGTTATTTTGGTATAATAGAAACGTACGTACGTGCTCTTACGTTAACTAGCATCAGAATTACAAAAGCTTTTCCAGCATTATTATCACTTACGTGCCAGCTTTATGAAAGTTTTGGCCAACGTTATCCACAATAAAAATTACAGATAGAAACTTGTAAAAAATTTACATATACTTAGAGTTGTCAAATTTTATGTAATTTTGCGTAACATGGTTTTCATGTAATTTGTAAGAAATGTGATCATATGCTCATATGCTCATATGATTGGTTGGATCATATGTACTTTATGCTGAATCTACTGTAGTTCAATAACGCTAGCTGAGTTTTTCATAGTGCCGGTACTATATATCACGTGTGAAATTTACATAAAATTCATGTTACTGAAACTTACGTGAAATTACATGTATTGTAAGTTTGTAAAATGTGTAATTTTCAACTCTACCTATCCGAAAAATCAATATAAAAAAATTAGATATACGTATTACACCTAGCTAATCATCGGTTTTTGATATTTGTTTTTATATTACACCTGTTCTAGCCAATCAAAAGCTATGATTTGCGAACACAGACATCGGATACTCTATGCCTCTACAGTAATGTTCTTCGAACAAGAAACTATATAAATTATATATAAAAGATAAAATATGTCGTACGTCGGAATGGAATTATTGTAGATTTAAAATGCACCTAGGTAGATTCTAAATAAACATAGATTATAATAGAATTCTAAAATGTGTCTGAATCGTTAAAGAATTCCAATTCAACTTAAAATAAAATTGTGCATTCCAAATTAATTCATCAAGTACTTTGCTTTGGAATTTAAATAAGTTTAAAATAGGGTTATTCATTAGTTCAATTTAAAAGCATTATATAAAGTTTTTGCATTTATAATTAGTAAAGATTATTCTTATAGTATACATTTTTTATTTACAATAGATTTTTATTGCAAGTGTTTTGTATTTGTATTTAATATTATTTGCATGAGACGAGGATTATAAAAGATGTAAAAAACTAGTATTAGCTGAAAAAATAAAATTGAAATGCATTGGAAGTTGACACAAATAGGAAAACCTGAACTTTCTTAACAATTATAACAGTTTAATAACAATATAATTTAAAGTGTTGGAAGTTAACATAATCTAAAAATTAGATAGTAAAATATTTTTATAAATATATAACAGAGTTCTTTTTTTATAATTATTTAAAGTTAATTAATTATATTCAATTAATATTAATTGATTATAATCAATTAACTTTTGTTATTAATTATAATTAGGTTTTAAATTTTTCTAATAAATATAAAAAAAATTATTAAGAAACAAAAAATAAAGTATGTATTTAAGAAAAAACTAAATAATTTAATATATTAATACATATTATATTATTGATTTATTAACTTATTGTTTATCAAATTCTTAAATCTTATTTTATTGTTGTATTTTATTTTAAAACAAATATACTTATTTTTAACAAACTTATTTTAAAATAAAATTAATAAATAAACTACTTCAAAAAAAATTAAAAATACTAATTTTAATAAATAAATCAAAATATCTAGTTTTTAATAAAATTTTTAGAAAAAATAAAAAGAATTTTTTTTGATAAACTTTCTTATAATAAATACAGTATATCAAACTCAGTAAATGTATTATGTTGTTTTTTAGTTCTTGTTACTTTAGCTAAAATTTGTTTTATTTTTTAGAATAAACCTATTAGTTTAAATATCAAATACATTAAAAATCTATTTAACAAAGGTTTAACTATAATACAAACTGTCTTAAATATATCTACTTTAATATTTTATATATTATAGGTTTTTATTAATAACAACTTACTTTATATAAAATTAAAAAATATCTACTAAAGATCTTAAATCTTCAATTTGTTTTTAAAATGATTTAACTTAAATAATATTGTTGAAAAAAAACACTTTCTAAAAATTAAAATCTTTAAGTATTTCTTTTTTCAAAAATTTTATATTAATTTTTTAGTTAAATTTTAATTATATATTTATAAAATATTTTTAATTATATAATAAATTTAATGTTGTTTAGATAGTAATTTTAATATATTTCTTTTAAAATTAAATAAATTTGTGATATCTTTTATTTTTTTAAACTATATTAGTTTTGATATATATTTTTATAAATGTTTTAATAATCTTTTAGATTTACTTAGTTATTATTTGAATAATTCTTCAATCACTATATCAAGATTACAAAAGAATTAATTAATAATATCCTGACTATATGTGAATAAGTGTAAACTTCGTTTTTGCTAATTTTCAATAAATTAGAATATTAATATTACTAAAACTATATATGATATTATTTCTAAGACAATATTCTTTTTTATACTTAAAAAAATATGTATTAAATTAAATTCAGATAATTATTTAAATAATTAGATTAGAATTATATTATAACTGTATAATATTACAGAAATTATATATTCATTATGTATTAAGTTATGCAAATATTAAAATTTAACAAAAAAAGATGCAAAGTTCATTACAGAAACATATTTGAATATTGCAAACCATTATTTTACTATTTTGCAAGCTAACTATTGGATATATTAAATCTGTTTATTCTGCTTTAATAAATGCTTACACTGGTCTATAAATATTGAAAGCTATTAAAACCTAATCACTTTAGAAAACGTGAAACATTAATATTAAAGAAGACAGATGCTTTGAAGTGAGTTCATGAGTTTTAAGAAAAATCAACAATACGATGCACCTGAAGAAATAGAAACACGAATTATTTTTAAAAACTTATCCACTTGACATAATTTGTTAAAAAAAACCCCCAAAAATTATTGATTAAAAAAAGATTGCTTTTAGAATTTCGAAAGCAAAAGACTGTAACATTGTATAGACGTTTGTTAAGCATATGAAATATCCGAACTCATCCTGGGTGCAATTTCATGTTTATATAATATAAAGAAAAGATATACATAGTTACTAAAAATAAAATTATAAGAATTAATCATTCCAAAAAAACTTAAATATTATTAAGTATATTAAGAAGGCAATTTTTATTTGGACGCTACACATATGTACGCGGGTATATAGAAAAGCCAACCAGGAATGCAAGATTTGATGTAACGTAAAGTTATCACTTTCTTTAAAAAATTAAACCTTTCAAGTTCTAACAAAAAAAAAACTTCCTTATGAAATTTTAGTATAAATTATCATCCTACCCTAACCCTAAACCTGCTTTACCTAAACTTAATCGAGGTTTTGTAAAAATTGTTGTTATAAATACTCGTGTACAATACTCTATGTGTAAAATTAGAAATTTTCTATCAAGAATAAGTAAAACCCTTAAATATTCTTAAGTATATTAAGAATAGATAATAATTTTCAAAGATCTTAAATATTCGTAAGTATATATATCTAGAGCCGTGCTTATAAAACATAATAGATAATCATGTGAAAAGACATTAAATCTTCACTTTCCAGTTAACTCTATAAGGGATTTTTATTATAGAGTATACAAATCTTAAAAATTTTATTTTACCTGCAAATTGTCATGATTGATCTATTAGACCATATTGGTAGTCTATATCACACAGTTCATTATGATAATGAATGGAACGCTATTGGAATAAAAATAAAATTTAATGTTTTGACAATATAGACGAAAATATTTCTGTTCAATTGCCGTAAACTGCCGTATACAAGACGCGTTTCATAAAATTTAAAATCTATAATAGGTTCGTGGTCTTTTGTATGGGTACGGGTCTGATAATTTGGAGGTCAATGATATTTGAATTACTAATTATCAATACGTATTTATTTATTCCTATTTGTATCCGGGTCTTCGCATTTTACCAAAACTTTATTCCATATAATGATAATAAATACATAGAGGGTATTGGCATAATTTATTTTAAGATGCAGTAAAACTACATAATTATGCATCTTAATTTTGGCGTAAACTATTTTATGGGACTTGCATTGCAATACGCATTGAGGATACGGGTTGTATGTAGCTTTCGTTCAATTTTTAGCTTTAATAATAATAATAATAATAATAATAATAATAATAATAATATATATATATAATTAAATTTAAAATACTTTGGTGTAAGAGCCACTTTAATAAAAGCTTTGAGTTAACGTTAACGTAAATATTATTTTTGATCACAGTTTTGACCCGAATTTGCCTCAACTGTACTCTGTACAACATTGCGTACTGCTACGTATGTTCCTGGTAAACTTGATTCATCGAATTTCGGTTCTTAATCAAAGCAGTGCCATTGAAAAGTCTTGACCAACTATTTAAAATTGCTGTGATAATTTTGTGCATGAAGTTGACACGGCATCAGGAAACTTTTTTTGATTGATTAATAACGATTACTAACAATTAATTGATTAAATTTTATAAATAATAATCGGTGATGGTGTCCATCGATTATAATTGATAGTGTTATTGATCATTTGTTAACCAGTCAACAATTAATAACGATTAAAATACTTGACGATAACTATCGATTCTATCAAATTGATAGAAATCGACATATACAATAACTATCGATTTTCATATACATCGATCGAAAACAATACATAATAACTACCGCTTTTTATTCCATATTGATTTCTATCAGTAGAAGTGTTGCTAATCTATTAATAACCCTAAATAACAATCGATATCCATCGGTCAAAAAAATTTCTTGATGACCTACCTAAAGTTGTGACATCAAATGCTTGATATTATATTTGACTATAATTGGCTCTGAAATTGGACATTATTAGCTAGTAATATTTTAAGCATCGGATGTAACTTCAGGCAGGTACTAACTTCAGGCACGACAATTACACCACCTGCATGATTACTACAGTAATATTCCAATGATACGTATGTTACAGACGGTGAATATGACTATATTTGATGTCAAAATTTAATTTGTAATTCCATTAATTGCAGAATTGTCATTAAACGTAACAATATGGATAAATACGGAAATACAAAATACCGTAATATCCCGCGGCAATACCATAATATCACTTCAATGCAATAATTTTGATGTGACTAATAATAGTAGAACTAAAAAACGAGAAAAGTGTTGAATATATTGCATAACATCATTTTCTCATTTTCTTCTTGCAAAATGAGCTCTTGCAAGCTAAAATTCTTCTAGGATAATGTTTGTTCTTGTCTAAGCTGTCCTATCAATAATTGAAAAAAACTTATATGAAAAACCCTAGATTTTAATAATTATCTATCTTGGTACTTACTTGGTAACTTGGTACTTACTTAGTACTTACTTGGTACCATAGTTTTTCTTCTTTTAGATAATGTGGATGAGGTATCTGAGTCTACGTCATTTCTCTTCATGCGTTTATCAGATGTTTTCGAGAACTTACATTATTCAGCATCATATTCACCTTTTTTTTTAAACCTCATGGTTATGTTACCATGATGACGACGCGTATTGTACATCTATTCACCTTTTACATAATTCTTTTAAAGAGAAAGAATTATAAAGAGAGAAAATATATCCTTAGATAGAAGATGTACTACGGTTCAGCTTTTTCATGCATGAATAAGATCATTAGAGTTTCTCAAAAAGTTGTTTTGAAAAATCAAAATTTAAAACCAGTTTTGTTTTTTTTCATATGCTTAATTCTCATTGAGGTTGTGCACAATAGTATAAAAATGTAGCATATGTTTCACGCTTGTTCAAATAAATGTACTAAGTGTAATACAGGCAATGAATTTTCTAATGATCAAAATTCACAAGGAAAAAGGCCAAAGTATTTCTGAGAGATAGATAGCATGATGAAACTTAAAAAATGTGTATAGGTGGACTTATCTTAAAGCTTCACTAAAATAGGTCAATCAATAAATACACGAAAAAAATAACGCGAAATTTGTGATATCAATTCAATGTATTTCAGTGTACCTCAGTGTATCACAGTAATCAGTATGTGAAAAAAAAAATTATGATAAAGACATGCATTTTGTTTATTTGATGGAATGAATTTTATCTTTTTGAACACGCGAGAACAAACATATTCGCCAATTGGTTATGTAACTTTTTATTATTAGAAAATGAATTGTCGTACAAGTAAATAGTACGAATTTACTAATTCCTCATAAATTTCTATCGCTATTGTTGCATTGGCTGGATTATTCTTATTGACCTATACGTATCAGTATATCACTTTCAGAGTTATTTCGATTGCTTTTTTAATTTTCGTGTTACACCTGATCTTGCTTCCTGATTATCCAGGATCGAAACTTGATAAATGCGGATTACGATAGTATTTCTGATGACAGTTTTTGACGTGCTTCTAAAACATTTGTCGTAATGCGATTTTTCTTAATGATACATTTCACGTTTGATATACCATTAACACATCATTTTAAGAGCTAACGCGTAGAGTATCTAATACGTAAAACACAGGAGTATCATTTAAAAAAAAAAACCGGAAACCAAATTTGGTATTGTTTCATAGTTACGCACATATAGTCTTTTCTTGGAAATACATAGAAACTCCTGCATACTAATATTAATTTACTACTTAAGGTATTCTTATGAATAGTAATTGCGTAATACATACTTAAAGTTTAAAGATATTAATACATAGTTATTTTTAATATATATTTATATACTAGGTGTAACCACTCATTTCGCTAACGGTTCGAGTTTATGCGTGTTATTTTTGTTACATATTGGTAACTTTGTTACACACCTTATTATGCATAGTATTCAAACGTGACATTACATAAAATTATGTATTTCTGTATTTACAGATATGATACAAAAATTGCAAAAACAATTCATTATGTCTAGGTTGGTCAACCATTTTACAAAGATCTCTAATACTGTAATACTATAATGAGTGATATAATTAAATTTCGGAATGTTACTCCTTTTTTGATGAAATAAAATGCTTCATGTAACAAGGTTGTCAAGAAATTTCCATCAAAAAAAAAAAAATAAAATAATAATAAATAAAAAAAAAGGAAAAAAAATGAAATAAAATAAAGAGGAAAAAACTCATCTTGAATAAATTTACAACTTTTGTTTTCACTCAATTCGTGTATGTACCTACGTATTCATTGTTTAATAAATAAAGAATAAACAAAGTACGAAATGAATAAAATTTTCCGACTTTTCAGAAAAGTAAGTAATCGTACAATAATACTTAACCCAATTTTCTTGGCAAGTTCTTTATTTCTTTGCTAATGTAAAATTCTTATATCATCATTTAGAAAAAGAAAGACAGGCGCCAATATCCTAATAAGGTAGAATTAGAAAAGCGACATGAAGTAGATGAAAGAGAAACACGAGTTAATAACATAGAACAACATTCTGAAGCTTATAATAATCATGAATCTTTAGATCAGCAAAAATTATCAAGCCATCCGATTCCTTCAGAGAAGCGTAACCCTCGTCAATTACCGAAAATTATAACTGATCCAACAAAACTTGCCATTATTAGTGATTATAACAGAAGAAATCATCGTGTATATAACAACAATAATAATTATAATAACAATTATTCATCATTTAATCGTGATAACGTTGACGTAAAGTTGATAGAAATCAGAAAATCCATCAATAAACAAGAAATAAAGCCTGCACAAGTTTCTCCAGGAATTTGTCCAAATTGTAATGGTCCAATTGATGAGTTTGGTTATTATGCTAGGTGGTGTTTGCCATGTCAATCAAAACGTTTCAAAAATAATTTTAGTTCTTGGTCAAGTGGTCATGATGATATCGATATCTTTATTCAAAGAACACAACTTTATTCCAAAAGTTGGGTTGACTTCTTAGAATGGATACCTTATAATAACTTCAAAAACATCAAAAAAATTGGTTCTGGTGGTTATGGTTATGTTTATAAATCAATGTGGCTTGATGGTCCACATGAAAAATGGGACTCAAATACCGCTCAATACATAAGATGTGGTAAATGGCGTGTTGTTTTGAAATCATTTGATATTTCAGCGAATAAAAATCTCTTTTACGAAGTAAGTATAAGTACTTCATTATTGTTACCGAGTCAAGTTTATTATTTATTGTTTACTGGACTCAGCCCTCTGATCGGCGACAAATTTTAAATTAATGTGTCGATCGATCGTGTTGAATCTTACAAATAATAAATAATAAACTTAAAAGAAACCCTGAAATCCCAAAGGCCTCATTTTCCCCTTGATTCACTCATTTTGATTGTACACTGTATGAACTGATTATATTATTTTTATATATTTTAGCTGAGAAAATATCTAGACTCCGGTATTAATAATGGTTTATATATTTCTCGGTATTACGGAATAACCCGAGATCCCATCACAAAAAATTATATGATGGTTATGCAATATGCGAGTGACGGCGACTTAAGAAAATATTATGAACAAAACTCTAAGTCTTTAACATGGCAAAAGCGTTTAGATATTCTACATAGCATTACGGCTGGTCTCACACGCATTCATATTAACAATCTTGTTCATCAAAATTTACATACTGGCAATATACTTATACACTCATCAATGGCTCTTTTAAGTGATCTAGGTTTTTATAAACTATCAGATGGTGATGAAGGATTATACTGTGTTTTACCTTTCACTGCTCCTGAAACTTTACGAAATAAACTATTTACCAAGGAATCAAACATTTATAGTTTTGGAATGATAATGTGGGAATTGGCGTATTGTAAAAAACCTTTTTCAGACCGTGCTCATAATTTGGATCTTGCCATTGATATTTGTGAAGGTTTTCATCCGGCATTCAAATCTAAAATTCCAAAATGTTACTTTGATATTATGAATCAATGTTTAAGTCTTGATCCTTCCATGAGACCTACTGCTGAACAACTTTACCAAACCTTTGGTGAATGGTTGTGCATGTTATCAAGCGTTCCTAATTCTTATATTGCTGAACAGTTTCAAGAAGCAGAAGAAGGGCTGTCACTTTTTGATAATAAGTTTGAAGTTCACCCGGAAGCTATATACAATAGTAGATATTACAATTTTAAAGAACTTGAGTTGTTACCTTAGAAAATTCAAATTATTTTGGTGAATTCTGTGAATAGGGTCATTGTTACTTTATAGAGTTATTGAACAGTAATTGCATAGATTATTAGTTTATGTACTATATTTTTTTTTACAAAATATATATATAAAGACTAGTTTAAATATGTAAAAAGATGTGAATTATATTGTATAAAAAAAAACCATTAATCAAGAGAAATATATCATCAAGTTAAAATGTACTACGTAGTGCACTTTTTTAAAGACTTATAACCATTTTCTAATATTAGAATTTGGTAAACTGAATATAATTCTCAAGTTTAAATCGTAGTAATTTTCTATACCTTTTTTTCAGTTCGTTATATAGACTATATCTGAGTGTCGCTAAAAGAAAACCTGAAAATTTAAATATAAATTATATTGAAATTTTCGGGTTTTCTTTTAGCGACACTCATCTTGACAGCATAGCAGGCTTTCATTGTAATTGGATGATTTTTGTAGATCATCCCGTCACATGGAAAAAATATTATTGGTTAATCGAAATCATTCGCAAGGTTTAAAAACAATTACAGTCGATCCTATAAATGCACCTTCTGTAAATGCACACACTATGTATACCCTCTATAAATGCACACTAATCTTCAGTACCGAGCATATAGAGCACTTAATAAAATGCCCTCAATAAATGCACACCCTCTCTAAATGCACATGTTTAAAATTTTTGCTTATAGTCCCAAGGGGGTGCATTTACGAAGGATTGACTGTAATAGCAAATATTTAAATTGGCGTGAATAAATGCATTACTACGATATCTCAACAACTTTAAACTTAAGACCATCATCTCGGTACAAACAGAATCTATAATCCAAGATTTTATTAAAAAATACTACCGTACGAATTAAAAAAAAATAAAAAGCTAAAACCTATTATTTAGGGTAATAAAAAATTTTTTTTAATTATATATAATATCAATCAACTAATACCACCGAATTATAACCTTAATCCTAAATATAGAAATACAGGTAGACTTCCCTAAGAACTTTCTCTCTAAACGCACGACATCTCTAAATGCACTCGTCCAAACATATCCCTGACCTTATGCGTACATTTAGAGAGATCTGTAATCTTAGACGTGACACTATGCTTTAACCTCTTATAAAGTTCACAAACTCATGTTTCCTGCTTCGTATTACTATCCTACTTTACTAGCAGTACGTATCTGTCTTTAGGATAATAAATAAATTATAAATAAAATAGATTAGTGATATAAACTTTTTGAAGACTGTTATTTATCAAGTTTAATAGATTGCAATATTTATGCTTATTTGCCAAATTGAAACGACCAAACATACCTCTCATCTAACTTCCGAATTACCTTTCCGATTACCAAATTACTTTGGTATATTGTAGAGCCGAACGTGTACTTTCTAGATTTTTATGTCGTAACCCTGCAGTTTCGTATTTGTAGCTGCGGTTTCATACTTGTGACGGCAAATCATTACTTTAATAGGACTTTATATGATGAGATGATCTACTAATTAGTTGGCTAAACATAATAGTCAAATAACTACATTTAGGTTTTTATTATCTTACGTTAGCTTCGTAATTTTTTTTTTGTTACTAATTTGCTGCCTTTAACCAGTTTTGTCACCTTTCGACATTTTTTATCAGTTTTCCGTTTCAAATCTCTTAAATTTTTTTTTGGAAAAATCGAAACAGGTTTCGTCTAACAATTATACCCTAGATAAATTAGGTAATCTGAATATAGTTTAATAGTTTCTTGATGAATTAAACTATCGATTCAATATTCAAGTTTATATTGTGATTTCACAAAGATTCCTTCATGTCCTCACAAAAACCTGAACCAATCAATATCTTTTAACTTTTTAAGTTTCATAAATAAATAACCTACCGGTAGGTTTTTTTTTCTAAAAAAAAAAAAACAAACATTTAATCTATCCCTATTTCAGTATTTAGTGTTCTTATTAGGGATGTTAAGTAGTCTGACTATTTTAGTTTTTACAGTATAATTTATATGTAATCAACCTAGTCAAACTAGTTGGTTACATATAAATTGTACTGTAAAAACTAAAGTAGTCAGACTACTAGTTCTTATTTTAATCGTTTTCACGATGGAGAACTACGAATCAGATTTCAAGATCAGGTGGAACGTAACACGATCAAGAAAATCAAAACAAACGTTATCGTTATTTTTCAAAAATCACTATAAGAAAACACCTTTAGTGCTCTAACAAAAAGTTTTCGTTGGGCAATTTTAATGTATAAACTACTTCCTTCTAATTCCTAATCTTGACTCTAACCCTAGCTTTAAAGAATTTTTGCTACGCCACGAACTTGGCACAAAATTCAAGATGTGCAAATCACATTTGATTATCACGTCATAGTCTATCTGGCTTAACACGTAGCACTAATATTTTTACTTTATTTATCACAAAATAACATGATTTATCTGTATAATTTCGTAAAGCTCAAATATAAAAACTTATATAAGAGATTTAAGGATTCAAGGATCTAAAATAAAAAAAGACGATGATTAAACATCCCAACCATAAAGTAGAGTTTGAGGAGGAATGAACGGTCACCATGAAATCATACCACATGATCACTGCTACTCGCCCCTACCCAGTAGTTGCACTCAACAAATCATGTGAGAATATGTACCAGATCGTTTGTAGTTTTCGCAAATCCACCAGCGCAATATTTGGAATGCTGACAAAAAAATTATGATCAGATTGATACAAGTAAAATGGGATCAGGAAATTTGTTCTCTTCGACAATGAAGAAGTCGGATCTGAAACGAATGATATTTTCCATATTGTTTTTGAGGTTTTCAATGATAATTTCATTATTCTCTTCGCAATCAACACGTTTAAAATTGTTCTCATAGGGCGATTCTTGTAAATGTTATACAATTTCAAGTTGTTCTTGTAAATTACATTTAAAGATTCTTCTTTAATATGTTATTCGATGTGTTCGATTGGGTTACAAGACAGTAATAGAACATTCGGATATGAATTTATCAAAACATTTGTTGTAGAATTTTGGCTCGTATGTTTCAGACCAATGTCGAATAGTCACAAAAAAAACAACAGAGAAACCAAACAGGAAATGTTATAGTTTGTAAGGGTTTGGAACAGTTGACCGGGTAGTCCATGTTAAAACCCTCGGTGCAATTTTTATAGCCAAAATTCTCGTGATCTAATAATCCGATTACAGTGAAACCTCTATAAGTGCACACCCTCTCTAAATGCACGCTTAAATCCGGGCCCAAATTTATACATGACCTCTATAAATGCACCTTTTCTTATTGTTCTTTAAATGCACGTCGTTAAAGTTCGATCCCAAGAGCGTGCACTTAAGGAGGTTTTACTGTATTAGATCACGAGAATTTTGGCTATAAAAACTTGTTTCCATAGCTTATGGATCTCGATTTTGAATTCGTCATCATGTAGATACCAATGCCCTCTTTGTTCATATCTTAATTTTTTCACACGTCAACTCACTTTGAGAAAATGACATGATTTTTCCAATTTCGGATCTTTAGGATCGGTTGAGTAATATGTTCCTTTATAATCTGCATATAATTTAAGTTTATCGAAAATGTTTTGTATCCCATAGTAAAAGAATCTTAACGTTTCTCAAAGATGACACATAGCCTTGATAAGATTCACCCGCGGATTATCACTCATGATTAACTTCGATATTGATTGGCTAACGGCCGTGGATCTGCAAAATTTTGGCCCGCATTACATAATTGTTTCCTAATTTCTGGCCAGAATTAACTTTTTACCCTTTCCATTCCAAAAATAATGGATCGCTAAAGTCTTGTACCCATGTGATTTTGAAGTTTTAATATAATTAGGCTTAGTATTTAGGGTAAGGGTAGGTATATAAGTAAAATTGCCTTCCCTGCATTTTTCATTAATGCGGTTTTTACATTTTTTAACTTCTTCATGTAAACAAATTTCATGATTTTTATTGGCTGATCTACCATAAAATTTTGAGTAATTCCGCCAATCAAAATTGAGAATCTGCCGTGACAATTTTGTTGCGGCAGCTAGGGTTAATTCATGAATGTTCAAAAGACCCCACACTTAAGATATGCCCCATGATCTCGATGGGAAACACTGATATGTTGTATTGGGTTGCACCCGGTTTATATTCCACACTACCTTGCATTCTCTTTCTTTCACGATTATGGTTCTTCCTCGTTTACATCTGCTAGCATTTTTTCTTAAATTTTTAGTAAAAAAATATCATATATGTTGGAAAATCTAAAATGCCTTTATTTATTTATTTATTTATTTATTTATTTATTTATTTATTTATTTATTTATTTATTTATTTATTTATTTATTTATTTATTT